ACTGTTGTTCGTGTTCATCTTTGTTTTCCTTGTGATGATCTCACCCAGATGTGGGACCCAGCGAACAAAGTAAGCTGACAAGCAGAACAGAGACAGACTCACAGATAGAGAGCAGGCTGACAGGCGTGACAGCAGCGAGCTGGGCGGGGCGGGTGGAGGGATCGAGCACAAAGTCTCGGGGACTATTCATTCAGATAGGTCAGCTCGGGCTTTTTGATTGCTAGCAACTGGACACACTAAGGGGAAGTAAGATAAATTCATAATTTTTCAAGAGGTAACAGTAAATGAATACTTGCAAGGGGCAAATTGAAGAGCGAGCTGGGACCAGACAGGCCCGGGTTCTCACACTCTTGTAGTGGGACCTGGTCCCTCTCCAACCTCCATCCTACTAAGTGCCTTTGGGGGGTGCTGTTCACCGGCACCCCCCCCCCCCCCACACACACACACACACGGAGAGAGTTCAGCAATGTTGGGTTGACCCTCATTCACCCGGAAGGGGTTCTCCTTCCCTTGGACTCCATGAATACTCACAGCTTTAAAATGCCAGTTGGGCCAAGTCAGCGTGGCTCAGTGGTTGAGCGTTGACCTATGAACCAGGAGGTCAAGGTTCCATTGCCAAGGTCAGGGCACATGGCCGGGTTGTGAGCTCGATCCCCAGTGGGGGGTGTGCAGGAGGCAGCTGATTTTCTCTCATCATTGATATTTCTCTTTCTCTCTCTCTCTCTCTCTCTCTCTCTCTCTCTCGCTCTCGCTCTCGCTCCATCTCCTTTCTTCTCTGAAATCAATTAAGAAAATATTTTTTAAAAATGCCAGTTAGGTACTGTAATATCAGGGGAATCATGCTGTAGAGTATATGATTGTCTAACCACTAAGCTGTGCACCTGAAACTAATATAAAATAAAACTGAAAATATCCAACATTCCCTTTGGCCTGGTTTGGGTCACATTCTCATCCCTGAACCCATCAGAGCACCCAGGGGATGGATTGGGGAGGTGTGGGTTCAGCCCTTTTGAACTGTTGGGACTGGAAACAGATGAGGAATTCCCACGGGAAAGTTGAGGTGCTGGATTTGGTCATGAGAACAGGCTGTGGGTTGAGAAAAGCAGATTCCACACTACCAATGGCCCATTGCTGAGGTGGGAATCTGAAGCCCAAGAAAAGAAGGGGTTCACTTAGGGTCAGGAGTTCAGCCACCCATCCGGCTCTCTGCTGTCCTCCCACCATGGCAAGAAGCAATTGTATTTGCTGAAAAGGCAACGTTGTTGTTAGAGGTGCACTCAAAGTTTCTGCCTTTGGCATTCAGTCCTCACATCTCCTCTTTGGAAAAAGACATACATAAAAATCACAACATATTTTGGATTTAGATAATGTTTTTCTTTAATAAAAAGCAAGAATCCAAAATAATTTTGTACAATGTGTCCTGACCAAAAGAATGCTTTAACTTACCTGAATAGCCTTTCTCTGCGAGATCAAGGAATCTATATATATAAAAGCCTAATAGGCAAATTGTCCCCGCAGGAGTTTGAACGGGAGATCTATTGCTCGCTATGACTTGTGCTGACTGCCAGGAGGTGTATCCGAACGAAGGCAGGCCCCAGGCAGCAGCTGGAAGGTCCCGATTGGCCCTAATCACTGGCCAGGCCTAGGGACCCTCTCCTTGCACAAATGTCGTGCACCGGGCCTCTAGTGACATTGATATAATGAATGGCTATGGGAGCAACTTGGTTTTCCTGGTCTGGTATCATGGCTCTTGCCAGAAGCTGGGAACTTCATAGAAATTCCTCTCCCTGGACCCTATTAGGATTATGTTTTGCCAGTGAAATGTACATGTGTGAGACTTGGAAAGCAGAAGGGAAATGGAGGCCAACAGTCTGATGGTTATGGCAATCAAACTTGAAGATGCTACGGTGCCTGGTGTACCCCAGCTTTTTCTCATATGCCTTCACTCCACATCCAGCTCATCTTCCTGATGACTGGCCCGGATGACCCATCTGAGTGCAAGTCAGGTTTACTGAGGCTGTGGTTTCCACACACCTTTCCACGTCAGTCTTCACAACCACTTGGGTTTCTCAAACTCTGAGCTGTCCACCAGCGCCATGCTTAGCCCAGCTCCCAATTCCTTGATGTCTCCCTCTAGACCTCTCCTTCACAGGGTGATACACACCCGTGTAAGCTCGATTCCTGCGTTAAACCACTGGTTTCCATATACTTGTCTTGGCTGTTTTTCCCCACGGAATCACCACCGCCATTCTACCCCCTTTATTGTTCTTGAAAAGATGGAAATGTCAGAAAAAGACCAGCTTCTAATGTAGGACATTGTGTGTGTGTGCGTGTGTGTGTGTGCGTGTTGGGGGGGAAGTCTAGGGCTGCTGTTATTGTTGTTACATCTATTTCTATCAACATATCCTGGGAAGCAACCCAATTTCTTCCTCAGTCTCAAGGTCAGGAAGGATAGGTACGCACAGAGCTGAGCAAGGCGAGACCATTATCTGATGGAAGCCGTATCCATTCATTCTGAAGGAAACGTATGGATTGTGACCCTGGTCGACCTTGTGGCCAAGGGTTTGAGGTAGAGACATACTTGTAATCCCTGGGGTTCTTTTGTTATGTCTCAACCATGGTCTCAGGATGATGGCTGTGGAGGCTGCATTGCCATTTCAGGATCTTTCTCATTGCTTTCAGTACGACCTGCCATATTTTATTAAGTTCTTTGTGTCTTGGTTTTGTAGAAATTTTATACACCGAAGACAATGCTATTGTTCTGTACTGAAAGGCTTCAAGTCACACGTTTTGTACATTTTAAAATAGATTTTTAGAAAAACATTGACTGGTTGCCTAAGGCATGTGCCCTGACCGGGGATCGAACCCACAACCTGTGTATGTGCCCTGACCTGGAATCAATCCAACTACCTTTTGGTTAATGGGACGATGCGCCAACCAACTGAGCCATACCAGCCAGGGTACAAGTCCTACTTCTTCTTTTAAAAAAAAAAATGTATTTTATTGATTTTTTACAGAGAGGAAAGGAGATAGTTAGAAACATCGATGAGAGAGAGTCATCGATCAAGCTGCCTCTTGCATGTCCCCTACTGGGGATGTGCCCGCAACCAAGGTACATGCCCTTGACCGGAATCGAACCCGGGACCCTTCAGTCCGAAGGCTGACGCTCTATCCACTGAGCCAAACTGGTTTTGGCTAAGTCCTATTTCTTAATGTCATTTTCAGCAGAAGTAAATTAAAGGTATTTTATTTTAGATATGTCAACCAGGGCAAAATGTCATTCCAAGAAATGAGATTCCGGGAAGAAATTCTAGCACAAGCACCTCAGTAGATTACTCTTAAACTTTATTAATGCCTTCAGTTTGTGCATCATTCAAAACAAGAGATGTGCTTTTAAAAGCATTCTGATACATAAACAGATCAAGGAACTGTGGAGGAACTTTGCCCTAAAACATGCACATCGGTTCTTTTCAGTTGTGTACAAGGAAGGGAAATAACTTTTAAGTCTCTTTCTTTGGATTCAAGACATTTGGAAGTTATTATTCAGGAATGCCAGCTGTTTTCCTGGAACAGATGTGTTTCCCAATAGGAAATGCTGATGTAATTAAAGGCCTTAGTGTTGATAAACAGGACTGGAAAAACATTTGAGCTTTGTCTGATCACCAGGAAGAGTCCCAGGGGACCGAACGTACATGTCAAAGAAACGAATCCGGTAGCAGGAATCGAACGGTTTGGATTGAAAAACAGGGAGCGGGAGCCAGATTATGTGACATATATATATTTTCAAGGCACATGACTAGGCTACACAGGTGGCTGGGGTTTATTGACCAATTTGTTCTTGCGTTGGGAAAAGAGTCCAATGTAATTTAATTTCCGCTTCCTGGCACTTATTGATAAATGCAATTAGAGCTGGGCAGCGAATGTCCTTTCGGATACACATTCAAGGTGCACACAAGCTAGCAGATGTCAGAGTGGCCCAAACAGTAGGACTCCGGGGTTCTTACAGGGCATTGCAGTGAGTGCTCAGCTGTCCTGTATTGTTACTAGACCCCATCTTGCCTGCTCTCGTTTCACAAAAGGATTGTTCAAAACAGGGCAGCTGAGAAGCTTATGGAACCCACAAAGGATGCTCAGACTGTTATTCAACAGCAAGCTCTGGAGTTGCCCATTGACTATGTTCTGCCTGGGGTTTTCCCAGATTGGAAAACGGTCCCCACGCTACCTCCCTTCATCCAGCAAACATGCCAGCATATTCGCCGCGATTCTCTTCTTTGGCGTCCCTCCGTGATGTATTCCGTTCAAGATACAGGTGCCCTAAATATCAACTGAAGAATAATATATAAACAACAGAACCTCCAAGAACATGAAAACTACCCTCTTCTCAAATCAACTGGGACGGGGACACAGAGGATCAGGCTCTGTGAGGTGTGTTAATGGCCTGAGCTTTCGTCTTGAAAGTGAATGCTAGGAGGTCAGAGATGATTCCATGTGCTTCTAACGGGCTAGCCAAAGGTTCCCCATCTGATGAGATAAAGTGTCTAATTTTTCATCTGCCCAGGCTACTAGAAGCAAGCAGCACCAGCAATGTAATTACACTTCCCCAGATAACACCGAGTCTCCATCTATATCGTTTGGAGCACCTGAAACTCTTCAAGAACAAAAAAACAAAGATGAGATGTTAGCAATACTCTCTGTGTCTTGCATACTTCTGCGTGCGTGCACGAAATGCGCCTCTGGTTGCAGGAGAGAGCTCCCAGGACTGGTGCTTTCTGCCTCGGTGACAGCTCTGTGCAATTCCAAACAAAAATACTTCCCTAAGGAGATGACAGGAGTTAACCGAAGAAACAAAAAGCCCATTAAGGCTACTGCTGCAATGAATGGCTCAATGTGAAGTGTATTGGAATAAATTGGCTGACAGGACAGAGATCGATCTGGATGCGTAGAACAAGATTATGAACAGAAAGAGAGAAAAAGGGGGGCTGTCCTTGGTTGACTCGTCTTTATTTCTTCACACACTTTGGCCATGTGAATCCGCCACAGAGAAGTGACACGATGATATAGATGAACACCTGGAGGGAGGAAGGAGGCAATTTTATTTTCTGGAATCTAGCATAGGGTCCTAAATGATATAGGACTAACAAATACTGGTTCTATCAGAGTTGTAGTTATGTAATAATACAATACCCTCATCTAGTATTTTCAAAGAGAGAGGTTGAATTAAAATTATCTGTTCTGATATAATTCTCACTGGATTTTTAAAAAATATATATTTTTATTGATTTATTACAGAGAGGAAAGGAGAGGGAGAGAGAGAGAAACATCAATGAGAGAGCAACATCTATCAGCTGCCTCCTACACGTCCCCTCCTGGGGATCAAGCTTGCAACCTGGACATGTGCCCTGACCAGGAATCAAAGGGGTTCATAGGTCGACACTCAACCACTGAGCCACACCAGCCAGGCAATTCCCATCGATTTGAATTCCACTATGCTTTCTTCAGTGGGAGGGAAAGCAGTGGGATTGTTTCACTTTACCGCAAACTAGAAAGAATCCATTTATATAACCAACTCTTACTGATACATCACTAATAGTCATAAAGATCACAAATAATAATTCCCTTTAAGTATGATTTTACTATTAAGTACATCCTTAGGTTTTACACATGGACTAATTTTTCATTATTAGGATAAAAATGTAAAAGCAGCCGAAACCGGTTTGGCTCAGTGGTAGAGCGTTGGCCTTTGGACTGAAAGGTCCTGGGTTCGATTCTGGCCAAGGGCACATGCCCAGGTTACGGGCTCGATCCCTAGTGTGGGGTGTACAGGAGGCAAGGGATTGATGATTCATTCTCATTCTCTGTCTCTTTCTCTCTCTCTTTCTCTCTTCTTTCTTCCCTCCCTCTCCCTTCCTCTCTGAAATCAATAAACATATATTTTAAAAAAAGAAATTAAATTTAAAAAATAGCTGTATAATTCCTATAAAAATAAAAAGAAACCCATTACATATAAACAACTACATTTCTGGGAGGTCAATTTTACGTGTCAAATTGGCTAGGGCACAGTGCGTTGCTTTATCCTGCACATGTGATTAAAACTCATAATCAGTTGGCTTTAAGGCTGGTTATCCTCCATAATCTGAACGAGCTTGACTCAATCAGTTAAAGGGCCTTACGAGCAGGGCTGAGGTTTCCTTGATGAAGAAGGAATGCCTGCCCTACAGATGTGGGACTTGCCCAGCTGGCGCCCACCGTCACGTAGGCTCTGCAATTCCCCACGCTAGCGCACTGATTATACAGCCAGACAAACCCCAGGCTAGGGCTGCATTTGTTAGCAAACACAAGTCCCGTGGAAAACAAGTTAGACTTCTTTCGGTCTCAGAAACTGCAAACATGATTATGAAAACTAAAAAAAATAAATAAATAAGAGAGCTGGATAGCAGAAGGAACAGAGGTAAAAGTCAATTTAGTCTGTTGGAAGAGTTAGCAAAGTGATTCTCCCGGAATGTAATGCAAAAAGGGGGTTAAACATACTAAAAAGGTTACTACACATGCAGCATAGTTCAAAGACGTCCAATATCCGCTCACAGAGGGGAGCCAATAGGAGAACAGCACAGACTAATTTGTACTTATAGATAAGAGAACCGCTAAATAAATATTAGCAAACTGAACTCATCGTGCATTAAAAATACTACATAATAACCCCTTGATATCAATCCCAGAAATAAAAGTTAATTATAAGTGCATTTATAAATGTAATTCAACACATTAATATTAAATGTAAGTGGTCACATTATCAATTCACTGGGTAGAGAAATATCATTTCCTAAAATTAAATGCCTATTCCTGATAAAAAAAAAATGTTAGCAGTCTAGAGATAAAATGAAAGTTCTTTGACTTGATAAGAATCCAACAAGAATTCATAGTAAATGTCACTCTTATAAATTAAATATTAGAAACATTTCATTTAAAACCAAGAACCAGCCTGGCTGGCGTGGCTCAGTGGTTGAGCATCGACCTATGAACCGGGAGGCCATGGTTCAATTACCAATCAGGGCACATGCCTGGGTTACGGGTTCGATCCCCAGTGAGGGGTGTGCAGGAGGCAGCCGATCAATGATTCTCTCTCATCACTGATGTTTCTCTCTCTCTCTCTCTCTCTCTCTCTCTCTCTCTCTCTCTCTCTCTCTCTCTCTCTCTCTCTCCCCCTCCCTCCCTCCCTCCCTCCCTCCCTCCCTTCCTCCCTCTTTGAAATCCATAAAAATATATTTGAAAAAAATAAATAAAATCACATGCAAAAAAGACAAACACTTACAATGGATACGATGATAATTATGATAGTAAGCTTGAGGTTCTTCATACACATGGCTCGGGCAAGATTTCTGCTGGTTGTTTTGAAGGTAACAGACTAGGAAAAACAAAACGAAACATGAATTGTTTGAACACTGGCACTGACTATATGGTTGGCTTGCAGCAACACCTCCAAGATGTTGACTTTCATTCACTGTTCTTTACCCCTTCCCTCACTTCCCAGGCAGAGACGGTTATTCATAATCATTAGCTCCCAAAGAGGGCTCTGCCAGGTCTATGGTAAGCAGTACGAGCCCTCTTATCACCCCAGGGATGGGATTAAAGTGAGCCATTACAGAACCCTGGGGATTTGAATTCCTATTTGATGCCACCCTTCCTCCAAAGACCACGTGCTTTGATGAAAAAACTGTTATCCTTCTAAGACCTCCTGTTAACCAATGCTCCTGTAAAATAACAATCAACATATTTAAATAGCTCTCACCATGTGCCGGACACTGTCAGGCACTTTGCATACATTACCTTGTTGAAGCCTCAAAACATTACGAGTTACATGTCCATTGGACAGATAATGGCCGAGGCACAGGTAAGGAACTTTCCTGAGGCCGCACAGCCAGGAAGAGGCAGAGATGGGATTCAATCCTAGGGCCTGTGCTATCAACTACTGCAATCCCGCTGCTGGTTCAAGGGGTAAACCTCCGCTCTGCAGTTACATTTGCCCCTGTGCAGGCGCACGTGGTAACTGATCTCTGCCCACTTGGCATCACCACATATCTATCATCTTCCTCCAAGCCTTCATCCGCTAACCAGATGGAGAACGCAAAGACACGCGTCACTGCAGTGTAAGGAGGTCACGGGGACACACGGACTACTTTAAGGCTTAGTGGCCCTTCCTAATCCCTGCCTTTTGCTTGATACTAAGGAAAGCCCAAGATGTCACAGCAGCCCGATCGGTGCTGCTCAGTGGTTGAGGTTGACCTAGGAACCAGGAGGCCAGGGTTTGATTCCTGGTCAGGGCACATGCCTGGGCGGGCTGGACCCCAGTGTGGGGCGTGCAGGAGGCAGCTGATTGATGATGTTTCTTTCTCATCGATGTTTCTATTTCTCTATTCCTCTTCCTCTCTAAAAAGGTCAATGATATATATATATATATATATATATATATATATATATATATGTGTGTGTGTGTGTGTGTGTGTGTGTTTTCGGGACACTGTTATGAAATGTTTTATTTTTTATTTTATTTTTAATATACTTTTATTAAGATATTAATAAAATACATTGATAAAAAAGTAAAGATGTCCCAGTAAGCAAGAAAGTGACTGCCCTGTCCAGATGTCAGGATTCGTACTGGGTCATAAGTGGCCTGAAAAGAAATTTTTTTTTTCACGTTTTACAAAACCTACAGAGAACAGATTGGTATGTGCCTCTGAGGTGCTAACTGATGTAGGCATCAATCCAAAGCTTGAAAAAAAATTGTTTCTGTAAACTGAGCAGGCTTCCCAAACCGAAGCTTCCTTAGTGGCTATTAATGGTTGTGGCTCTTTTTCTATGCCTCATTGTTATCCGCATAATCATAATGTAATCACATAAATAGGTCAGAACAAAACACACTACAGTATGGAATTCAAGACATTTCCCCTTTAAGTTAGCCATCAACCACTTGCTGTACTTTACATCCTGAAAAATACCATCATATCCTGTACTTACCGAATCCACGAGATTTTCTGTTTTATCTATCAATAGTTCCAATCTTTCTCCGCGCTGAGCTACCAGGTCTGAAAATGTTGGGAAAAAAACGGAAAATAACATGTTTATATTAAAGACGTGCTATTTTTAATCTTTGCTTTAAGCCCAATCTGATTTTAATTATGGTTGGTCCGCCGGAGAACTTCCATGGACTGGGGGGAAGCACTCCTATGTTTCATTAATAAAATATATGAGTAAAGCTTATCAGCTAAAGTGGGGGCTGGCAGGTTTTTTTTTTTTTCTCTGTAAAGGGGCCAGACACTGAATATTTTAGGCTTTGTGGCCCCAACAGTCTCAGTCGCAATCACTCAACTCTGTCAGACAGACAATGTGTAAACAAATGGGCATGACTCCGTTCCAAGGAAACATTATGTGGAAAAAGAGGCCAGATTTGATCAAGGGATGTCGTTTCCAAACCCCTAAATTAAGAGGATAATCTGAGAGTGAAAAAAAGACACTGCAAAGGGGAGGGTTGGACACTGCGAGGATTGTGGTCTGTGGACCCTCTCTCTAACAAAAGTCTGTAACTGGAAAAAGAATGATACAATAGTCCAACTCAGTGGTTGAGCGTCAACTATGAATCAGGAGGTCACAGTTCGATTCCCAGTCAGGGCACATGCTGGGGTTGCCGACTTGATCCCCAGTGGGGAGTGTACAGGAGGCAGCCGATCCATGATTCCGGTCATCATGGATGTTTCTAGCTCTCTCTCTTTCTCTACCTGTCTCAAATCAATAAAAATATATTTTAAAACAAACAAACAAACAACAACAACAACAACAACTAGTTAAAGTCTCTGAGCCCTGGCTGGTGCGGCTTAGTTGCCTGGGCATTGTCTCAAGCACCGAAAGGTTGTTGGTTCGATTCCCATCAGGCCACGTGCCCAGGTTGCAGGTTCAGTGATTGGTTGGTCAGAGTGCATACCAGAGGCAATTAATTAATGTTTCCCACATTGATGTTTCTCTCTCTTTATCCCTCTCCCTTCCTCTTGAAAATGAATAAAAGAAGCCAAAACCGGTTTGGCTCAGCGGTAGAGCGTCGGTCTGCGGACTGAAAGGTCCCAGGTTCGATTCCGGCCAAGGGCATGTACATTGGTTGCGGGCACATCCCCGGTAGGGGGTGTGCAAGAGGCAGCTGGTCGATGTTTCTCTCATCGATGTTTCTAGCTATCTCTCTCCCTTCCTCTCTGTAAAAAATCAATAAAATATATATATTTTTAAAAGAAAATGAATAAAAGAAATTGAAAGTCTTTGAAAACTGTGAATGTCCAAATGAAGAAACATTCATACAAGAAAAACCAACCAATTCTCAGTAAGAACAGCTCACGTCTACGGCATTTAAGTGATTACCTGCTCCATGTGTCGCTCAGCTCAGGGAGACGGAGGCTCTACTCCTGGGCTCCTCTCTCCCCTCAGGTCCCAGGCAAAGACTATACCGTCTCCCCAGGAAGGGGGAGTAGGGGCGAGTCATCACCCCTTCTTCCACCCTGCCCCCCTTAAGGCTTAGAGATGCAGAAGCTCTACTCCGGCAGGGAATGAAGGACAGGCCTAGGGCTCCAATCCTCTACATAGCCCCGCCGCCCAGGGCAGAAGCCCTCCCTCAGGGGCGGGCCAAGAGTACTGGACCCCCTGCCCGACTCATCCCCATGCTGGGAGAGGCAAGCCAAGAAGACCAGGTTACCCAGGATTCCGTGGATAGAACCAGTGTGTCCCTCCCAGAGAGGCAGTCCGCTGTCCTACCCATAATTCTAGAGCTGTGGCTCAGCAGAAGCTAGGGGGGGAGAGGCAGGCCTTAAGAAGAGAGAGATTTCCTTAAGATCACAGGTTTCTTTAAAAAAAAAAAAAAAAATATATATATATATATATATATATATATATATATATAATTGATTTCAGAAAGGAGAGATAGAAACATTAATGATGAGAGAGAATCATTGATTGGCTGCCTCCTGCACGCCCCCCCACTGGGGATGGAGCCCGCAACCAGGCATGTGCCCTTGACCAGAATCGAACCCGGGACCCTTCAGTTTCTGGCCGATGCTCTATCCACTGAGCCAAACTGGTTAGGGCAAGAGCTCAGGTTTTATTTGGAGCAGAGTGTAGGGAAGTTCAAGCCTAAGAGTGCTGTCAAAAACAACAGAGATTTTTAGCCTGGCTGGTGTGGCTCAGTGGTTGAGCATGGACCCAGGAACCAGGTCAATGATTCCAGTCAGGGCACATGCCCGGGTTGCAGATAGATCCCCAGTAGGGGGCGTGCAGGAGGCAGGCGACTGATGATGATTTTTCTCTCATCATTGTTTCTATCTCTCTGTCCCTTTCCCTTCCTTTATGAAATCTATAAAAAGATATTTTATTTAAAAAAAAAAAAAGATTTTGGAGGTATGCAAGTAAGATGTCGGTGGTAGCATCATGAGAATCACAAGACAAACCATAGGCCGGGAGAATTGTAACAGAGAGCTAAGAAAGAGACAGCTAAGGAGAACCATCCTGAGGTAAGAAAAATATCTAAGACTGCCCACAGAGACAGGGTAGCCCAAATCTAATTAGCTCAGACTGGAGACATTTAAGTCTGGGGAACTACTGGGGAAAAAATAGAACAATTAGCCTGCGCTTCGTGAAGGTTAACAGCAGAGTGAGACACCCCCAAAAGCAGACTCGCTGGAAGCATAACAGGTAGCCCGGCCAGTGTTGCTCAGTGGTTAAGCATCGACCTACGAACTAGAAGGTCATGGTTTGATTCCTGGTCAGGGCACATGTGGGTTGTGGGTTTGATCCCCACTGCGGGACGTGCAGGAGGCAGCTGATCAATGATTCTCTCTCATCGTTGATGTTCCTATCTCTCCTTCCCCCTTCCTCTCTGAAATCAATAAAAGTATATATATATATAAAAAAAGAGGCATGCCAGGGAGAACAAGAAAAGAGACAATCAAAACGACCATGTCTGTTCCCTCGGAGAAGTGACATTAGAGACTGAACACCATGAGAAAAACAAGACTTCAAACAGTCAAGCCTAGCACAATCGCTACACAAATAAACGAGCAAACCACAAACTCCGGGGTTTGGAAATCAGTATCCAGAGTTGCTGCAATATGTTATCTAAAGTGTCCAGTTTTCAACAAAAAAATGGAGATAAGAAAACAAACAGGAAAGTGTGAGCCACAGACAGGAAAGAGAGCAGAGATTAGACATTTACATTGGGGGGCTCAGCTGTGGGACTGGGGAGTGGAATGAAATCAGAAAGCAACAACAGAAGGAAAACATATGGGATGAGGTCAAAGCGGTGCACAGAAGGGAATTTATAGCAGGGGATATATAAGGAAATTAAACACCCACATTAAAGCGAAGATGTTAGGGACTGACTTGTGCCTTTCCTTCCACTAAATTCCTATAGCAAAGCCCTGAAACCCTAACCGCCACTGTGATGGCATTCAGACCTGGGCCTCTGGGAGGTCATGAGGTTTAGATGAGAACGTGAGGTTTCTCGCTCTCCTGCTTCCTCTCCCTGCCTCCCCACCCCCATTCAAGGACACCGTGACAGGGCGGCAATCTATAGCCAGGAAGAGAGTTCTCTGCGGAGGGAAGGAAATAATACAGATCAGGGCAGGCAAAATTAAATACAGAACAGGAAAACAATAGAGAAAAATAATTAAAACCAAAAGATTTTTATTAAAAAAAAAAAACACACACACACACAACAACACTGACAAATCTGCAAAAACTAACCCGAGAGAGGAGAGGAAAGACTCAGATTCCTAAAAGAATCACTATCAGCTTCACAGAAATTAGGGGGATCCTAAGAGAATACTATGAATAAGAGAGTGTGTGTGTGTGTATATATATATATATATATATATATATATATATATATATATACACACACACACGTTCGATACCTTAGATGACATAGATAAATTCCTAGAAAGACACAAACCACCAAAACAGACTCAAGAGGAAATAGAAAATCTGAATCTGACCTACAACATATTTAATACAGAACAGAGGTTGAATCGAGGATTTTCAAATTTTACAACAAAAAGGGCCCAAGCTCAGATGGCTTCAGAGGTGAATTCTACCAAACACTGAAGGAAGAGCAAATTTTCACCAACTCCTCCCAAAACAGAAGAGGAGGGAACACGTCTCAGTTCATCCTAAGAGGCCAGAAATAGTCTGGTATCAAAACCAGACATAGACATCAGAAGAAAACAATAGATCAGTATCTCTTATGAATATAGACTTTAAAAATCTCCAATAAGATACCAGCATATGAATCCAGCATCCTTGTAGACCATGATAAACTGTCATTTATTTAAGAAATACAAGTTGACTTACTATCATACTTAATTGTAAAAGACTCCCAAAGATCAGAAATAGACAAGGATGTCTACTCTTGCCACTTTAAAAAAAAATAATTGTATTGATTTCAAAGAGGAAGGGAGAGGGAGAAATATCAATGATGAGAATCACTGATCGGCTGCCTCCTGCATGGCCCCTACTGGGGATTGAGCCTGAAACCCAGGCATGTGCCCTGACCAGGAATCGAACCGTGACCTCCTGGTTCATAGGTTGACGCCCAACCACTGAGCCACACCAGCCAGGCAACTCTTGCCACTTTTATTCGACCCTGTACTAGAGGTTCTATAATGGGCAACTGGATGGGAGGAAAAACTGAAAGGCATCCAGATTATAAAGAAAGAATTGAACCTATCTTGATTTTCAGGATGTATGATCCTGTATATTCACAATCATAAGTAATCCACTAAATGCTATTAGAACTTTAGAGCTGTACAAAGTTGCATGATATAAGATCAGCATACAAAACCCATAAGCAATGAACAATCCAAAACCGGAAGAGAAAAATTCCATTTACAACAGCATAAATAAAAATAAAAAGACTTGAAAACAAGGCAAGAAGAATGTTAGAAGATACTATCAGAGAGACATCATTCTACACTTGTCAAATGGTAAGGAAGACTTTATTCAAGACTCTAGCAGTAGGGGGTCAAGACTATTGCACAGGGGGGAAGATTGAGCT